AGGAGTTTGGTGAACATCTGAGCTTAGGATTGATTGCCCAGTCAGATATTTTCAAGAGCAACACGAGGGTTGATCCTTTCGGGAGGGTAGGTATGCAGACAACTAATTTGGTGCAACTGAATTGGAGTTTGGAACTCATTTGGTCATTTCTCACTAATCTGGAAGTAAGATAAAAGGCAGAGATTGTTGTATTTATAACTAATACTGTAATTAAAGGTAATTTGGTCTTTTGGCTCTATTTTCTTGTATGCTCTAATCATCCTCTATCAAAGGAGCTTAAGATTCATGAGAGGTATAGTGAGAAGTGTAGAAGTTGTAACCCAAAGTCTTTTTCTTTCTCCTCATCCGGTGCTAGTGAAATCTCCTTCCCCGTGGATGTAGATGAGTCAATTCAACACCTAACCATGTAAATCGTTTGGGTTTGATTTTTGTTATGTGAATTTCTTCATTTCTGCATTGCGAAATATCTTACTAAAAGTAATCAAGAAACTTCCATTCATACACAAGTAAATAAAAATACCCTTTTTAACTTTTCTTTGCGCAAAACCAAAACTGGTGAAAATCAGTTTACCTCCCTTAGTTAATTATTTATTGGCATTTAATAGAAAGCACTATAGATAAACCTGGACTAGCAACAACCAATAAATCATCATCATTTACCTTATCTTAACTATTTGGGTTGGCTGGCTACCTTTAATTAATAAATCAGTCAAATGAAGCATAGAAATTATTCTGTTGCAGCTATAACGTTGACCGATTCATGGTAAGCAAAAGTTAGCTTACACGGGATGGAAAATCCCATCAAACAGCTGAGCATGCCCACAAACTAAAATTCCGCATGGCCGCTTATTCAAATTAATTCATTATGAACCTAAAATCATAAAATAAATTGATCCTGAAGACGTAACGCAACTCTTATTATGAGCCCGATCGCCACAGATGCACATAAAATTTCTCGTGTCGTTATTATACCCACACTGCCCATTGCTCCTCATGCACTCCGCGCAATATGGAGCTGTCCAATTCACAAGAGACCCATTTGCTTGAAGCTCCGGGTACTGCTCAACGTTGGCGCCAGGAGCACTCAGCACTGGCCTGACAGCAGTGTGACATGAACCGAACAAACCTTCACTATTTGGCATCCAATAAGTACCTCCAAGATAAGCATAGCTTTTGCTGCCATGACAAATGATCTACAGGAATCCAGCCCTCGTCTCCGTGCAGTTGTAGACGAACAAAAGCTCACGGTTGAGTGAGCTAATGGAAAATGGGGTGAGGGCAAAAGAGAGGCTGTGTAAAGGAAGAAAACAGTTGCTCTTGGAAGCAAACTTTGCCAGGGAAACAGTGGCAGTTCTTCTCTTGTAGGAGAGAAGCGATAAGATTGGCGTCATTTTGGGAGTAAGAATGAGAGAGGAGATGAAGTGAAGGTTCTGAACCAGAAAGGATTGTGTAGACTTTTGTGAACTGGTTATCAGTTTTGACCAGCCACCGTATCACCGTTCAACTGTTGACGAAGACCGAACTGGTGATGGCCGCCACTTACCTTGTTTTGAATTTAACGCTCTAGGGGGGCTGAAAAACGAAGTTTTATCTCGATATTTAAAAAAAAAAAAATTAGAAAAGTTTAAATTACTATAGAATATCTATTATTCTTCTCTAATAAATTTGCCAATTTTTATCTTCATTCGTAAAATCCTCAAAAACAAAAATTCAACGAAATGCAATCCATATTTTCCACTATTATTAAAGTACAATTATTTAATGCGGCAAGCATAAACGAAGGAATTTGATGCTTTATTTTATTAAATAAATGTTAGCTTTATGAGTACACCTAATTTCAATGATATATATAAGCACATAAAACTTTACTTTTAAAGTTTATAAATGAAATAAAATATATTTAAACGGTCTTTATAATGAATTTAGAATACCTCAAAAGTATTATTTTATTTTTATTACAAATTCACTAAAATTGTCCTCATTTCATTAGGTGTGTCAGCAAAGCAAACTCGAGTTAACCCAAAGTTTGCTCGTGTTTGGCTAGTTTGAATTTTTTTAACTTTTGTTTGAAATGCGCTAATTTTCAGTCCAAAATTAGTTTCAATAATTTAAAATAATAATAATAATTAACATTTTTACATACAGCATAAAATAATAAAAATAATTATAATAAATATTAATTATTTAATTAATTTAACCCAATATGAACCAAATATGATAGAACAAAAGTTTATTAATATTTGACTCATTTATATATTGAGTTTAAAATTTTATTTTTATTGGGCTAATCAATAAAGAGTCATACAACAAGTTGATGATAATTTTTGTTGGCACGCACATACAGAAAAAAATGTGATGAAAGAGAAATATTCTATACTAAAATGCATCCCAGTTCGGGGTTTGTTAGAGTTAATTTCATATTTTCATTATTTATGAATGACATAATAAAGTTAATTTCATATTTTCATTATTTATGAATGACATCCAATTAAAAACCCCCTAAAATTTAAAATTATTATTTTAATGGAATTTTTAAATTATACATTTTAAAGTCATTCAACCTCGAGACAGAGGCAATAATTCCCCATAGAAATTTTATAATGAATGTTTCAAAAAACATTTTTATTATAATTATATTATTATTCTATTGACATTCCGAATAGCCTTATTTTTAAGATGTAAAATTTAAAATAATATAAGAAGTTTCATATCAAAGTTATGTTTTTTCTATCAAAAAATCTTTCCTAAAATAAAAATTACTCACATGTCAACTTTATCTGAAAATTAATTTAAATTCATATTACAAATTTAATCTTCATAATATATTAAAGACAAATTACTAAGCATATTTCATAATTTTCAAGAACTCCCTATAAAACTACGTCATTTCCTTAATTCGTCATAGGATTTTTGTCTAATGAAAGGGGCTTAAATTCGAATAGATAAACTCGATAAATGAAAAGGAATGCAAACTTCTTTAGGCGACCCAAGGGTCACCACAAGTGGACCTCCAAAGAATGATCATCATGCAAATCCCAAACTCGAGCAACTACGACCAAAGTAATAATGATCGGCATATGAAATACTTATTAGCCTTGCTGACATATCACTAGAATCGGTCGGCAGGAGGCTGGCGTCTGATATCGCACAATCATCACTTGGACACACCAGGATTACACTCGAGACGGAGGCCAAAGGGATTTCAATATTTCATGAAGATGTTCTTTCGAGCATTTCAAAGTTGAAATTGTATATGGCCTCACTCAGACTCTTTGTCATAATTCTTTTATTTTAAATGATATGATGGTCATTTCAAGGTGGCGCCAACTCATATAAATAAGAGATATTACACAGAAAAAGGAAAGACTCATTCTCATTGATGCATTAAGGAATCCCTGCCAATTCACTCTGTCTTTTCTCAAAGGATCCTTATTCCTTTTTCCTTTGCATGCGTTCTATTCCTTGTGCATGGCTCGAGGACAAATTGGGTTCAACACGATCAAACTACACATAATGCTCAAGTAAACAACCATGCACTATCTCTAAATTCTATTTTTAGAAAAACTCATTGCTATTAAATAAAAATTAGATCACATAACTAACCTAGAAGACAAGAACACTTTGACACATTGTTAGCATACGATCATACATCGTGACAAAGTCCATGGGGTTGTGATAAACAAGAGGGCACAACTGGGGTAAGCATGAGTAGAAGAAGCTTAAGCGGAGGAAGACATGAGCGATTAGAAGCAAGTGAGACAAATGCTTGAAGAAAATGACGAGTAAAAACTCACCATAAAAACATTCATTTATAAGGGATAAGGAAATGGCAATTGCCTAAAAAATGCAAGGGTAAAAGGGCATAAATACATGTAAATGAAAGGCATAAATGCATGTAAATAAAGGCATAAATACATGTAAAATGCAAGGGTAAAAAGGCATAAAAACAAAAGAAAAAGTTAAAAGTTACATTAAGTTATGCAGACAAAAATTTCAGCACAGTACTTGTCTCCATCCTAAATGTAATATTGCCCTACAGCAGTTATTTGAAACATAGAAATCTCATTAAGTATGGGAAATCCTAAATTGTCTCTGCCAAGGGCACTGAATACGATATTTATTCCGTTTATGGCATATGCGTTAGTTCTAAAGCAACTAGATTTCTCTTAAAGTCTGGCAGCATTTTAAATTAGGCGCTTTACAAGTCCATTTTATAGACATCAAATTGAAGCTCAAATCCCTACCAACATTTTTTATGCTTTCTATTAAACATACATAGGAAACTATGATATATATTCAACAAAGTTGGGCCACAATCTTCAAAAGTCATGTTTGAGAAAAAAACTCATGTTTGAGAAAAAAAATAAAAACTAAAAAAAGGCTTAAAATAAACATAGTTAGGTGGTTTTTGTTTACACTTTCAACCTACAATGTTCACACGCCCAACGCTTGTAGACGCTTCTACCCAACCACCTCTGTAAGACTAAACCAATAACTTGGCAATGAATTCCTCAATAATATTGTGTTATCGGTAATGTTGTCAATGGAAATATAAGCCATTCAGATATACTTTATGTTACCTATACTAGTGAAACTGTTGAGAATTACTCGCACAAAGTAATAAGTTTGAAGAACTTCGCAAAATAAATCAAAATTAAGTTACAGACCATACTTTTGAGAAAGCAAACTGTTCAATGCGATTAACAAGAAAAACCTACGACTCTTTTATCTCCAAATCAGCTAAATGCCCAAAACCAAATGTAAGCATAAGATATAACGGTGATGTTGGCTCTGTTTTTATGGTTTCTTATGAAAATGGGGAAATTAAAAGTTTCTCCCGTTGCAGACATGGCAGAATGTTACGAAATTTGCCAAAAGTTTAGGCTAATTAAACTAAAAATATCTCATAAAAAAGCAGAAGCAGAGGATCACGCGGAAAAACAGTAAAGAGAAACTAAAGAAAGCAATAAAAAGATAACAGAAGCAAAGGAATCACTTACTCCGTCCATAAGGGCAACTCCCAAGTGCTGTATTATTGGGGCAGAAGCAAATGGGATCAGTCGACTTTGACGAATTATAACCACAGACCCCGCCTGAATCAATGCATAGCTTGCACCACTCTTTCCCACTTCAATCCAAAACCCTTCTGCAACGCCTCCCCAAACTTCGCCTTGCTACTATTCAACGACGCAGCCGCCACTTGATTCACCGGCACTGCCGCTTTCAATTGACATACACCCAACAAATCCAACAGAAACGATGGCGGCCCCGTGTCCAACTTATAATACGACCGCGGCCAAATGAGATCGTTAAAGCACAATATCTCCGCCAAGCCAGGAATCGGAATACTGCAGTTGATATAGACCGTCAAGTTGAGATCGAGATCGGCGAAAGCGAATAGCGTAGAATTGATGCTGGTGTTCGTAAAGGTATGCGGGCAAGGATTGCCCAGAAAATCGGACTCAACCAGCGTGATGAAACCCTGTGTGTAGTTGATCTCCCTGACCCTGTAATCGACTCCGGCGAGATTGATGCTAAGCTCGGATTCCTCATCGCTGCAGTGGAGTTCATAACCCGGGATGCCGCAGTAGCTAGGGCTGCTAGGGAGGCGGAACGGGAAGGAGACGTTGATGTTTGTTCCGCTGCACCGGTAAGGACGGGAGCAGTTGAGGTAGTAAGGATCGATGACTGCAGAGGCCGATGAGGAGTGAAGGATGAGGTGGGTTAGGACTGGAAAGACGATGATTAGGATGCGTTGAGGCATGTCGTCGATCAGGTTGGGGGAGATGTTTGTGGGAAGCAAGATGGAAAAGAAAACCTGCTGAGAAAGTAAAAATGGTTAGGTGGAAAGAAGGAAGAAGATGGGGAACGAAGCAGAGATACGCGGATGGTGATTGGAAAAGTTAGTGCAGGATTCAAGCGGCAGAATGATTCAAAATTCTAGAGTTTTTTAAAGTTTTGATGGCGTGCAGTCGCTGCGGCTTTCCTTAATGCGAAAGGATTGACTGAAATCATGTAATCAGACATCAACTGGCTCAACGGTAAGATATATTATTTCTCCCACATGATTTGAATCATGTATTTTATAACTTGTTATTCATTCACACAATTTAACCCAATTATTTGTTTACATTAGGAGTTTTAATATAATTTTATATCATCATTTCAATCAGGACCTGTCACGTGTACAAATATGTCAATTCATATATTAAATTATTATTATTATTACTATGATGAGTCTGCATGTATAGAACAAACATTACATCAGGACTCCGAACGTAGACCTACGTTTGGATTGCAATAGTTAGGAATATTCGGCTGTGTTACACGAATATTTCATCTCGTTATTTGTAAAAAAATGATATGTTATTCGAGTATTATATGGTGTTATTCGATTATTTTATTGTGTTATTAGAATATTTCTCTGCGTTACTTGATTTAGGGTCGTGTTATTCGCCATATTCCCCGTGTTATTTCAATTTCCACTATGTTATTGAAATAACACAGCCTCAAATCAAGTAACACGGGGGAATATTCCATTGACACTTCAGCCCCAAATCAAGTAACGTGGCAGGATATTTCAATAACACCACAAAAGAATCGAATAACATCATACAATACGCGAATAAAACTTCATTTTTTACAAATAAAGCAGATGAAATATTCCTATAATACAGCGGGATATTCCTAACTATTGCAATCCGAAAGTAGCTCTACGTTCGGAATACCGATGTAATATTTTTCTGCATGTATACATGACATGTCATAATTTAAATCCTGATGCAAAACTACATCAGGACTCCTGATATAATATTGATCATTCACGTTAGAAGTACAAAATATCTTATCTCAATATAAATTATATAATTTATGTTTTTATATATCTTGTCATATATAGTAAAATGTGCTTGACATGTAAAAATCTAACTATTAGTGCAAGACAAATAAATATATGAGAATGAGTTGGAATGTTCATTTTTTCTTATTTTCATTTTTTTCATCTTCTGGCCAGCATTGATTGCTTTAAAAAATTTATGTTAGAATTTGTGTATATAGAAATATACATCATATAATAATTGTAAAATTTACGTGAAGGGCACGTGCTGTGATTGAATGCACACTTCCGAGTATGGTAAGATTTGAGTCGTTTGTCTAAAAAGTAGAGCCATTTAATCATATATATATGGCTGTCAAAAAAAGCTGGTTATTCGCGGACAGTTTTGTTCGATTCGTCAATGAGTTCGTGTTCGATTCGTTCTATAAGTAAACGAGACGAACGTGAATAATTTTTTTTCATTCGGTTAGTTAAATGAACGAAATACGAACATTGATGTGTTCGTTCGTGTTCAAATCGTTATTGTTCGAAATATAATATAATTTATATATAAATTTTATGATATTTTAAAAAATTAAATTTTATAAATTATAATATATAATAAATTAATAATAATAATATATAAATACACTATATTAGTAATATACTAATATAGATATTATATATTTATATAATATAAGTTATACAATTAATATAACATATTAATATACTATACATATAAACAAAAAAAACCCTTAGCCACTTTACACCAACCGACCTCCCCTTCCTTTCTTGAAAGCTTTAGGTTTTGGTTGCCTCCCCTTCTTATGATTCTTCTTCTTCTCTCAAAATCATGAAAAGCTTTTGGCCACCAGAGCTTACAGGGTTTGTCGTTTGTGCTCGTTCTCTAGTCTCTACTTCTATTTGTCTTCAATAAAGTTTCTTTGTCCTCTTCGAGTTGGAGATTTGACGTTGGATCAACTGCTCAATATTCTTGCTTAGTTGCTCGATGTTCTTGCTTGGTTGCTCGATATTCTTGTTTGGTTGCTTGTAAGGCTACCGAGGTGTCGTCTTTCAGTATCCTCTCTGTAATATTTCATATTTTTCTTCAGGTTCGCCTCTTAGATTAAATTTTCTTATATTTCTTTTAGATTTATTTAGTTTTTTTGAGTGAAACCTAGTTTTTGAAGTTTTTTGAAAGTGAAATCTCGCATATTGCCTTTAGATCTAAATTTTTATGGATGAGATCTGATATTATGATATTGTTTTGAGCTATGCTGCGGCTATTGTGCTTTTATGCTGTGATTCATACATGTTTAAGCATTAATTTCATATAAATTTAAGCTTTTGAAAGATTTCGAACAGTACAAACAAATTTGTAAGATTTCGAACAATTCAAACAATTCGAATAATTCGAACTAGTCGAACAATTTGAACAATTCAGAAATTTTAACTATTTCTAACATTTCAAATATTTTGAATTAGTTCCAAACAAATCAAACCGAGCACGAACAATAACTTCACAACACAAATAATTTCGAACACGAGCCTATTTCAAATGAACCAAACACGAACATGAGCTCTGTTCGTTCGTGTTCTGTTCATTTACACTCTAGTTACGCAGTTTCAACTCCCCTCCTTGTGCTTGAGCACAAACTGGAATGAGGCTAGGAACTCCACTCAGGTGGCGTGTCGGCCCTTTAGTTTGCTCTAGCTGTTGAGGAATTTTAAGGCTTCGTGATTCGTAACAATGTGAACTCATTTGTTAGCAGGTGATGGGTCTAGTGCTCCAGGGCCCTCACAATGACATAGAACTTCTTGTTGTAAATCAAGCACTTTCTTTTGGAATCATTCAACTTCTCACTGAAGAAAGTGACGGGGTGCCCTCCCTAGCACAAAACTTCCCCTATCCCCACACTGGATGCATCACATTCAGCCTCAAACAGCTGGCTAAAGTTTGGTATTGCTAGCACGTGCGTCTGAGTCACCTTTTTCCTTTAGGGCTTTGAAACTAGCATGAGCTGCTGTTGTCCAAGTAAACTCATTTCCTTTCAAAATTTTGGTTAGAGGAGCGTTGAAAATATTGAAGTTCCTGGTGAATCTCCGGTAGAACGATTCTAGCCTCAGAAACTGCCTCAGCTTGGCGAACGACTGAATTAACAGTGATAGTTTTGGCGTTGGTGCCGATATCACTGGCGACTCCTAAGGAGATAGTGGGGGTGGTGCACGTGATGGTCGGAATGACGGTGATGGCAAAGAAAATTGACATCTGTTGGAACTTGCCAAGATGGGTTTTGTTCGGGGAGGAGTGCCACTAAGGCAGAAGAGATAGGGGCTTAAAGTGTTGATTATCATAGCTACGGGATTTATAGGGAGCCATCTGACGGATCAGTTGATTGGAAGGGGGATAACCGAGCGGCCAAATCCCAAAAAGCCTGTCGATCGACCATTTTCAACGACCGACAAAATCCACATGGCTGAAATTTAGATAGCATGAAATTCATGCGATTGGAGTTTATTCGACCGGAAATCACTAACGTCTGAAAATTCGAGACGACTGAAAAATTTTGAACACCAAAAATTACGGCGATCGACAATAGAGAGGACAGTTCCGAGGACCGAAATATCCAGCAATTTTATATAATTTTATTTTTCTCTAAAATATATATGTTAAATCTTCTAATTATTTTTTTCTAGGTCTAATTAGGACTGGGGCATTCGAAGAGTTCATATGAGACACTCGAAGAAATAAAATCCGATGAAGCAAATAAAAGACTCACCTTCAGGGCGAGCAAATTGCCGACCCTCAATGTCAAGCATGAAAAACCATATCTCTAAACTCGGAATTGGTAAAAGCTCTAAAGGTGGTTCTCTGCTCATTAGCGACAAGCTTCGCAAAGAGTACAATGCAAATCACCCCAGCAACGAGTCTCATCGGTTATCCTCGCGAAGGCAGCGATAAGATTCGCCTCAGGCCTGATGAAAGGTGAGGCCCGACCGAGGCGATAAAATCGCCGAACAAACGAGACACGGGCTTTGTAAGACTTGAAACAAGCGATCATCGAACTACGATACAAAAAAATGACTAAAGTTCATTCTGATGATATGAGTCGTCAACCAACCCAAAACACCCAAATGTCGCAATCAAATTGTGCGACAAAGGTAAGATAATAAATAAGCAAAGGTAAAAAGTGATCCAGAGCTTTATCTATGTCTTGAATAAACCACTAACAGTTTTTCACAAGTGCTGACTAAGTGACAGATTAAAATTCGACCCGAAAAGGCTCTGAGAGATTGGAAAAA